CAGAACACTGAGTGCCGCTGAGTTCACTTCAATGCTACACCACTACCCGAGCCTAATTAAGCAGTGCCGCCTGCATGCAGCCCTGTTTAAAAATTCTTGGATAAGTCACCATTCTCAGCGGGCTGGAGATGCATTTTCCTCGTAGAAAACGATGTGTGATCCTTTTGTGCCACCCCAGGGCAGCTGAGGGCAGGGGATTAGCACCATGGCCAATAGACAAAACAGTGCCCTTCTGGATGGGCAAGGCTGCCTGACAGCATGCCGGGGGGCCGCATCTCAGCAACATGTGCTCCACACCTCGGTAATTGGGAATTCAAGTCTTGTTGTCACGTCTTAAAACGGCTCACGCCATCATCACGCTACGGGTACATCACAACTCTGCGAAATAATTTAAAATGTGGAAATCAAAATAGTTTGGATGCAAATCATGCACACTCTAATAGAAATGCACTGCCAATTGTCATAAATGTCAAATATATTTATTATAAATATTTTGATACAAACGTTGGATGCCAATGGAATGGTAATGCACGCACTAGTTTTACATTTGCTGGAATATCAAGGTTGGATGTCCATGCTTTAATCCAACAAGGACATCTTTCATGATATAAATTGAATTGCTAGATAAGGTCTATGAAAGACATTCAGGATAATGCATTTGACTTTAATGTTTACCACTAATTACGTAATTTGTTTTACCAATCACAAATCAACAGCAGCGTATATCTGTTGTCATTGGCTTGCTTCAGTTTTCAACTTTCAGGTTTATTTTGTTTAACCAGGTGAGAACTCAAGAAAACAGGATGAGTCTCATTTAGAAGAGTGACCTGGGTCACTGAAATAACAAGAGCAAGTACAGCAGGTAAATATAAATAACAATTAACTTTTTTTTTCCATAAGTCATTCCAATCACCATTTAAGAAAATAATATCCCCTTCCATTGCTTTTAATTTACGAGGGGAAAGTAAAGATAGAGCCTTGCAATTGCGTGCACACACCACGACTGGCAGAAGGGCCTCCAAAATATTCTCTAGAGCAGGGGTCCCCAACCCCGGGCCGCGGACCGTACCGGTCCGTGGCCTGTTAGGAACCGGGCCGCACAGCAGCACGAGGTGAGAGCGGTGATTTCCTCACCTCTTTCCCGCACTGCGCACTTGTCTCAGTCACAGTTTTGGTAAGCCCACAAGCTAACCCCTAGCCAAGCTAACCCCTAGCCAAAATTAGTAAAAAAAACAAACGTCGCTGGAGAGCTTCTTTGAAAAGTATGAAAAACCCAATGATGACCCCCCCCCCCCCCCCCCGGTCCGTGAAAAAATTGTCTTCCACGAAACCGGTCCCTGATGCCAAAAAGGTTGGCGACCGCTGCTCTAGAGGACCACCCTGGAAGGTATTTTGGCCAATTCTTCCGCACTGGCCAGACATCTAAGAATACATAGGAATACAAGTGACCTGCAGATCGACTAACTGTGGGTTTCTCACGAATACATGTACTGCTGGGTGGAGAGAGGCTGGGAGATTTAAACAACTTGGCCACTGTTTCAACAGCCATGCCAGGAGATCAAATTGAACCGGTGACTTCTGGATTGCAAAGGTCTTGCGTGCTGACCATTACACCACGACAGCATCCACATTTTTCGTAAGTCATAAATAACACAGCAATGTAAAACTTTAAATGAACAAAAACCCCACATAAGCAGTAGATACTGGAGGTGCCACCACAAGGTGTGCCTCTTGTGTGATGCCTTGGCATGTACCATGGCCGTTATGTCTCAGTGTAACCGTGCCAAACTTTTCGATTTAAAGCTTTCGTGACTGCAGGGATTCATCTTCTTGGTTCTTTCGGTAAAGTCACGTAGAAGGGAAGTAATAAAATAATAACAAATAAAACATAATAAAATAAAATAATTCTCACGACGTTTCGGCTACAACGCAAGCTGCTTGCGTTGTAGCCGAAACGTCGTGAGAATTATTTTATTTTATTATGTTTTATTTTTTATTATTTTATTACTTCCCTTCTACGTGACTTTAACGAAAGAACCAAGAAGACGTGCCAAACTTGCCAGACGACTCTTAGCAGCAGCAATAGCAGCCTGTCCCAGTGCTGGCTTCCGTTACTCGTCCAGACACGCAAGGCTTATTTATGATATAGTGTGTTCAGCGAGACTCGAGAGCTCTGGCAACAGAAAAAAACGTATTAACCCATTCTATATTTAGTATCTCGAGCTCTCGGACTCACCATGAGAGATTTCATAGATGATGATAGATGTGCAGTGTGTGTGTGTGCGTCAAATAATCAGCATTGTTGCATTAATGCATGGAATGCCTTTCCTGGGGAGAATAACAAATACAAGGACATTATATAAATGATGTGCCAGACAAGGTCTTAGGCTTAGCCGTCAATGCTTTTAAATGATTGCGTACAAAACATTGTCATCTGAAAAAAGATGCAGTTACACAACATGAAGACATTCGTAAATATCCCTAACATAGTGAGCAATTGCATAAAATGCAGGAACATTAGTTTGCACCAACAAAATATATGCATTAAGCAGCTATAGATATTTGCAAGGGGGTGGCCTGCCGAAAATATCAAGTAAGCCACCTGTTATGAAGCATACTCTGCAGGGTCCCACGAGAATGAACTGCATATTATTTACTCCTGAAGGTCCCTCCCTTTCCTGGCACGACTCAGGCTGGGAAATGCAGTGATAAGCAGTTCGTGTCCCACCAGCCTACTGTTTCTTAATCACGCAGATGTCGCAAGAACACCCCGAAAGTGTGAGGGAACAAAAGTGATGCCAGTTTTTGCTGGATTTGGAGGCTAAGCATCTGTTCTAACAATGGCCTTGCCTCTGTCTCTGTAAGTAGTGGTGCTTTGAGTACAGTCTGACTGACCGCACTTTATTGTTGACATATAGTTGTTTTTGTTTGTTATACTTTCAGTGTGACCTTTACACCTAAATTTGTGAACTGCAATGCTGTGTCCATATACAGTAGTTTTGTAAAATGGCATCAATATGCATTATGTAGAAACATACAGAACGTTTATAACATTTGTCCTGGCCTCTTACGACGTTTTGTGTGTTTATATTTTCACGAACGACTTCAAGTTTTGATATATATATATTTTAGGAAGGTCGTGTTTAGTCGATACAATATTTAAATTATATGTTGGCGTTTTTAATGCAGTGCTGCGCGATAATACAGCAATTTCGTGTGCCAACATTGTGTACATATACAATGATCGTCCAGTGCCTCCAGCAATTACAATTTAATTGTATGAGGCCTGTGCCATAATTACACCCTGACCATGTATTCAGGCTTGATTACAGTATTGGCTAGCAAAGATTGAGTCGAAGGAGTGTTTCGCATTCCATTGACTCTGTTATGAACAGCTCATGTTTACCAGCCCCTAGCAGCGCAATCTATTGTTTGCAGAGCATTGCCATTGTTCGAGCTGATATTTTGTGAGCAAAAACACCACTCAACCGGGCATATCTCCAGTCCCGTTTCGACTGCAGGCACAGTTTGCAGAAGAGGAAGTGGCTAACATTAATACATTTTCTTTTTTCTGAACTACCATAACGTGTAGCGCTCCTGATACAAATCTTGTGCCATACTAATGAGTAATATAAACATGTGTTGTTGAAAATGTCAAGGACGTGTACGAGACAGTCTAAATTCAGACGAACATATAGACAATGTACACACTTAGAGTATTTAGTTTTTTAATGCTTTTCAAAGCTGTTTACAAATCTCATGACATTGAGCCACATTTGCCCAGCAGCTGCTGCTTGCATTGTACATCGCTATTTTATAAAATATGATTACATTGTAAATAGCTATTTGATAAAATTGCTATTTACTGGCCTTTGTGTAACACCCAGTTAGTTGCTTTATGATTTCAGCAACTTTATGTAATTGTTCTCGTTAACTATCACGAACAGCTCAAGCATGTTAATAATGAATCAGTACCACGTAATTTATAGTACTATTTAATTCCACTGTTGTATGTTCAAGTTCAAGTTCATTTATTAGGTAAAGCCCTGTGAGCCATTCAGCTCTTGAATCGGGTGCAACCGCAACAAACAAAAAACAAAAACATGAACAAGAAAACATCTTAAAGTGACTATGTGCAAACATAAAATCCAAGAAAAGACAGCAAAATATTGCAGAAAAAGCACCGTACACCAACACTGTGTGCAAAAATCCTAGTAGGATGCAAGTCAAACAACAACAACCACAAGACAACTTAGATTAAGGCCATCAGTCTAACTCTGTACTACAACAAACAAACATGGCCAAACCAAAAAACTTTTCGAAAATCACCAAAATAAAGCCATAAAAGCAATGAAACAGTGATCATAGGAACTGTGACCGAATTTTCACAATAAACGACGTAAACAACATGTACTACCAAACTCTGCAGCCATAACTGGCTGCATGAGTCACTCCACAACAGCAGGAGCATCAGTCGGAGTATCAACATTTTTCAATGCACCTTTAAGATCAGCGCACTAAATCAAAACACAGATCATACTTTATTTCACCGTGACGGTCAGTGGAGGTTGGTGAAGTGAGGGAAGCGCTGCCCAGAAACAGTTCAGATATCACTCGTTTCCTGTGGCGATGATCATCTTAAGGTCACCGGGTTCATAGTGCACTATGCTAACCGCCGCACTAACTCCCCACCCCAAGCATGTAAATATTAGAACCTAAATGTGTGGGAATAAAAAGTGGATTCAGACTCTTATTTGGTTGTTATTACTAGAACAATTATGTCCCGCTGCTTTTTGTACGGAACAAAAACAGTTGCCTTTTATGGATATCCCCTTAGTTCAACTTTAAAATGGTTTCCTCAGATAAGTGTTCATTGGGGATGGGTTGTGTATATCGCTCCGACATTTGTTAAAGATCCCTGAATAAACAATCATCCCAACAGTAAGCATCAGGACAGGCTTTGCAAGCCAGCTGGGTTCATTATCCAACAGGACCTAACTCAGAAGCACTCCCATGTCCCGTCCGCTTAGGGGACGAGGCACAAGGATGTTTAGGGCACGCATCAGCTCCTCGCGTGTAAAGCATGTTAAATATTCTCGTCAGGACATCCTGCAATCTCAGAAGTCAAGGCCTGGAAGGAAGGGTGTGTCCACAGTTGTTGGCTTGAGGCTCCACGTTCAAAGTCACGCAGTTGTTTTTTTCACAAGCCTCGTACCAAGGTAAGAAATGTGTCGCTTAATTTTAATGTCACATACAATACCGTATAACTATTTAAAATAATTGTTTTGTGTGTCACTTGTGTGTTAATGCGATGTTGTGTGTGTGCATGACTTTGTTACAATATCGTCTTTCTGAGTGTAATACAATGTAGAGTGTCACCGCATTACGTTGTGGAGTCAACTTTGACTGCGTGATTAAACGGCACACGGCATTAATGGTTGTAATTAAGTACAAAAACAAGTATTTGCATCCATATATAAGTTGTGCTTTCACGTTCGGTCACTCGCTGAATGTGTGGCATAACTCACATGTGTTGCTCTGGAATGCACTGGTAATTGCAAAATGCAGTTTTTTATACCTACCCTAGTGTTACAGCCAGCGTGTGCTTTGTTTTTACATGACTGACAAATAGAGAACTATATACTGTGAAGTTTATTGCATACGCGTACTTTCTATATGGGTGCTTCATCATATTATTTCGTTTGTGTGCGGTGTTTTAAGGGGAATATTACATCGAAGGATTGTGAGAAGTGACGACGGCTTGGGGAGGGCTTCATCCAGCAGTCGCTTGACCACGGCTGAAGATGATGATTAATTTATTGCTACTTGATAAAGCAGTTGTACTTCTCTTTCATTGTGAGGACATTGAATGTACGCCATACCTTTTTCGTTTCCCAGGCTACTCAAGCGGACGGACCATTCGACCACATCTGTACCCTCGGCGTTTGCCGCCATGACCTCAGGGAGATGTGCTTGGCTCGTGGTTGCTCTGCTCTTCATTGCTCCAGCGGACACGTGCCCATCCGTTTGCCGGTGCGATGCAGACAGTGAACTCGTCTACTGCAATGACAAGAACTTAACTTCGGTTCCGAGTGGAATACCTGAGAACACGCACGTGCTGTATCTCCAAGATAACCTGATTACTGCGGCTGGGATTCCTCTTGCGATAAAGAATTTGACTAATTTGAAATTGCTATATTTGTACGGAAATCGACTAGAGTCCTTCCCAATGAATCTACCAACAGGTCTACTAGAACTACATCTGCAGATGAACAAATTACGTAGAATATCCAGAGAGGCTCTTTCACAGATTCGTCTGCTGGAAAAGCTTCACCTCGATGACAATGATCTTGCTACGAGTGAGATTGAGCAAGGTGCTTTTCGAGAATTAAGTTCTATTAAAGGTTTGTATTTCTCCTCTAATCAATTGTCGTCTGTGCCTTATGACCTCCCGAAAAGTTTGGAAGAACTACAACTGGAAAGCAATCGGATCACAACAATATTGGAAGATACTTTTGAAGGAATGGTGAACCTAAAGCATTTAAATCTGGACTGGAATGCATTAACGAGTGAAGGTATTCATGATAGTTCATTTGCCGACCTTACAGAGCTGGAAGAACTGTCGTTAGCAAACAATTTACTAACTTCACCACCAAGAATTTTGCCAGGAACGAATTTGCAAAAACTGCATTTGCAACATAACAACATCACAGCAATTCCGTCAAACTCATTTTTGTCTTTACATAACCTTGTTTACCTTGATTTATCAGAAAACCACATAAAGAGTTTGCCCGTTGAAGCCTTTAGTGGACTGAACAACCTGAAACAACTCACACTTCAGAACAATCCATGGTTGTGTGACCGCAAGCTCCTGTTGCTCAAAGACTTCTTGGAAACAAGTACTGTGCATGTGAATGGATTTATTTGCAATGAACCACACTACCTGAAAGGTGAAACTTACAAGGCAATAAGACCTGAAATGTTGAACTCTCGCAACGCCAAGCTGTCTACATCTTTAATGGTAATGGAAAATGCCACTTTGGAGCCAACTACAAAATACACTACAACACATACTTCGAGCGAAGTTGCTGAAACCACGTCAGCTAGCGATTTCACGACAAACCAAGAAGGGAAAACTACGGCCATACCTACGCTTGTAACTACAACAAGTAATACAACCTCAGAAACTACTATGGCCCCAACAACAGATCATCTAACATCACAGAGCTACAGCAATCCTGTGTTAAGAGGGCAGTCAATGGGCGAGCAAGAAATCAAGGTTGAATGGGAATTTATGCATCCCAATGCATTATATAATCTCAGTTGGACAGAAACTGAAAATAAAACTCCCGCGGCAGAGACTTCGTCGGAAATAGTCTACGGCAGCCCTCCTTCATATGTCATCACGAAACTTCGGGCAGAAACAGCTTACAGGATATGTTTGGAACTCGTACGGCATGACAATATGTTACTTCAGGACACTGCGGCAATTTGCACGGACGCACGGACAAATGGTTCTTTGCCAAATAACCTTACTTTGTTTTTAAACCAGGACCAAACCATTTTAGCTGACCAAGGTCTTCCTATTCCAGTGGCTGGTCTCTTAGGAGGAAGCGTTGCCTCTGTGCTGGTGTTGGTGCTTCTCGGTGCTCTGTGCTGGTACTCGCACAAAACTGGCCGCTACTTTGTTACGCGCAGGGCACCCAGAAAGGCATCCCGCTTGAGGAATGTGAAGCAACAGTATCCAAACAAGCAAAGAGTCTTGGAGATGAATGTACCGCCGCACAAGAGGGAACAATTAAAGAGCCATGTGCACGATGGTAAAAATATAGACAACGTAAAAAACTGTAATTTAAATTCTGAAAACAATACAAACCCACTGAATACAAACGAGCTGTGTGCATGACCTCAGTGGCTGCACTGGACAGTGATGGCTTATATGCCGCTAATGAAGCCCACGTCATGCATTTTAGCATCGATGTATTAAAACATTAAAAACGATTTTGTCATCTGAGCTGTTAAAATATTACTATTTGGCACTCCATGGTCCATGAATGACAAATGCGATGCATGTGTTTTGTAAATACGTTGTGAAAAGTATAAGAAGGTGTTTTTTTAAATTTGCATTGAGGCACTATGTGGTCAAATTTAATTTCCTTGTCGCGTGCATATCATTTTTACTAGTGGGCAACTTCAGGTTATGTACACATGCAATGGATTAGGCTAAATGACTTAAAAGCATGTTTTGACCCTTGCCTGAAAAAGAGTACAGTATATGAAATCTAAACCGTTTCAAGAACAGAAAGGGTATCTGTATAACATTTTACATGGCAATGTAATAATAGTTCGTTTTTAGAGGATTCTCCAGGGGACTCATAATTTAAAGAACGTAGTTTTAATTCCCAGTGTAGGTTACCAATACCTTGGGGAAGTTGCAGTACGGATTGCTGGAATGGGCAGTCATATCTGCCATGCGATGTTCTGGATGCAGCACTGGTACAGTGCAATGTGATGATATTCTTGCGTGTGGGGAAAATGTGGGAAACCCCCCCAAAAAATGTTTTTTCAATCCCAATCTGACCAGTTGCTGAAGCTCTCCCCGTTCAAGAAGGGGGACTTCCATTGTATAATTTGTACAGATCTGCCATTGACTTATTTAATATTGCATGAGGCACTGGTGCCATGTGACGAGTAGCCACAGCCATTGCAAGATATATACTCGAGGTGGTGTGCCGAGATGCGGAAATATTCTCCAGGTCACCGATCCCAGATAAACCTGGCTGAAATGAAGCCCTGCCGTACTGTACATGGATAATATAAATGTGCTTAAAACTACTTCTGTTATATCCCTCGCCTCGTATACTGAAGGACATGGGTTCAATTCCGATCCTGACACCTATATATTTGGAGTTTGCATGTTGTGGGTTTTTCTCCGGATCTTCCGGTTTTTCCCTCCACATTTAGAAACATTTGTTTAAGGGTATTTGGCTGCGATGAATTCCCACGTGGTAAGCCACTTCGTTGAGCTATCATTTGTGAAAGCCAGGTAGCTTTTGAAAAATATCTATATAGCTAAAAAATATCTATATTGCTATATTTTATCTGGTAAAATAAAAAAAAAATTGTTGAGTTTTTAGTTTTAGCTGACATTGACATATTAAAAAAATATGTACAGCCCTTTGTCAATCCATTCTTGGATGAAGACCTTCCCACAGTTTAGTTCATGGGGGTTTTTCTGCATACTTCACCACGCTGGTAATTGTGACTTGGTGAAATGTTGTGGCGAGACTGGTGGGGGAATTGAGTGCTCGTTCGATAATCGGGAATCGAACTCGATGCACCATGTTCATCGGGCAGTGAGTTAACCGCTGCACCACCACTCTGCCCTGCCATTTGCGTACTTCTTTATATACATGTGGATTATTTAAATGCACTTAAAATTAATATTCTATTTACCTTTCATATTGATAGCACTGTCAAAGAAAATATATTATCTATTTATAAAACAATATTGCATTTTTAAATGTAGCTTATTGACAATACAAGCACGTAATGGACTGATGTTTATTTTTAAATGTGGTTTAGTTATAATTTGCACATGCATCTGGAATTTAAATTATAAAGAAAACAATATGCATTTCCATATTACAACTGAAACGGCCACAGATGGCACTTTTTATGATGGAGTATAAAGAGTGATTGATCGTCTATTAACCAGTGAAAAGATTTTATAGAGATTTCAGCCACTGCCATGCATCAATTTGCCTAGTGCAAAGCGAGCTCAGGAACAACATGAATGCCAACTCATATGCGACAATGTCGTGAACGCATTGCAAAGCTGCGATACGTTCTTCCCAATGGGTGCAATGCAATGAATGGCTTGGTGTCCGCTGGCTACGGTGTCAATCCGCAATGGATGCAGTGCACTTCAGCTCAGAGAGGCAATGTGATGGCCCATACGTTGCTGTGAATTCCTGTGATTCATAAAACTCAGTGGATGGGTAGGGAATTATAGAATTCTGAAAGTGGTGCGTTGCATTGAGTATTCAATAATATTTATAACAACATTTACATTTTTGTTGCATTTTGGTTCTCATAACGTCCAAGTATGATGAATAGACTCAGCAGATGATGTCTTGATAATGTGAATACAGTAGCACTGCTGCTTGCGTAGGTTTTCATACTTATGGCTATTCAGCTCTCTGGTGTGCTTTCGGAGTCATACCGCACATTGTCCGGCACGATGTCCAACGTTTCACCCGACGTGCTGGGAGCTTCTTCAAAAACTGAATGAAATATTGGACGTCGTGCCAGATAACACGCAGTATAAACCTAAAACAAATCAGACAGCTATACAACAGAATTACGTTGCTTCCTGTACAAATGTATGTTCCCAATGAAGACGCATTGGACACCCTCCACCAAATATATTTTTCTTTGGTCCCTACATTCCTGTGCCAATAGGCATCTTCGTGACATGCTAACACCTGCCATATATTTAACTCAATTCGCACTCACAAGAGAGTTGCCTGTGAAGAGATTGCATCCAATGCTGGGAACACAAATCATAGGTGTTGCGTGCCGAGTCTATTGGCTATCATCCCTCTTCAGAAAACCATACTGCATATACCTTAGCACAATATGCGTCACTATATGGGTCAGAGAGTTGGGAAACAAACACAGGTGCATGTGGAAGGTGATAGCAATTTTATGGAAGGAGAGGGCAAGCAACCTGGGAAAGCAGTATTCTTGGATGCAAAGAAAAAAATCCCCTTGTAATGTGTGGGATACATGTGTAGATTAGCGAAACAGACGGAGTGACATGAAGGTTCACAATTGAGGGGAAGACCTAAAGCCAGATGGTGGGATACGCTGTGGCCAGACCCTCATGGTCAAGTGTCCGTCTTACATCAACTGTGGATCTCGAAGAAGGGAGGGAGGAAGTGATGGCTAAGTGTGATGATATCAACGACATTGGCAATGATGACCTCTTGACCTTGACATGTACTTTGTTTTGTTACTTAACATTTTCTGAGACGATGTTGTTTTTCAAATAAATTTCCAATATATGATTATATTGCTGATACATGCGGGGCTTTAATTTTCACCTAACAGTATGTTTGAATGACTTTTTTAGTGTACTATTGTCGATATGTTTTCATTGCTCCTTTTAGTTTGAAACTGTTCTCTGGGTAACATTTACGAGACAGACCTCATTGACTTTCTTGACATTGAGCAACAAACTGATTATTAAACTGAGCCGCCTATTCAATGAGGTGGACGATTGATGTGGGTGCAAAGCATACACGGAACATTATGCACCCAGCTCTGAGTTACTCGTCACGTTAAATAAGTATGACTGGCTCAAATTTTCATTAACATGTCGCAGCATTATTAACTCAGGGGCACGTCGCTCAAAGTCAAATGCGACATTTTCGATCAACAAAACGTCAGCCACGACGGCCACTTTGTCAGTCCTGATAGCATAGCTTTTAGTAATAGCCAGCACTTAGCCCATTACGTCTCCTTCAACCCTATTACGGATTGCTTTATCATAATATGAATCTTGCTCGCCAAGTCTCATTCAACAGAATCTCAGCTGGAAGAGATTACATATTAATTACCACATTTGCAAGTTTCAAAAAATGTCTGCAATTTACAGGGAATATTTCTTATAAACTTCCCACACGAGTGAGGTTGAAGGCAAGACTCTTGTTGTTTTTTTGCGGCAAGATGGGAATAACTATGCAGGAAGCAGGATGTTACTAATTTAATAAAATGATTGAGAAAAGTTTTCCACATTAACGAAGCATCCGGTTTCTCTGAGTAGTCATCCTGTTGTGATTCCGCAAATTGCTATCAGTCACTAACATTAAAATCAGTTGTATAAACATAAATTAGATCCATTAGCTGAGTCAATGCCATGATGTGAAAGAAGTCTTTGTCAGTCACTCTGTCATGAACCAGACCAAGGTGAAACAGTCATGTTTGAGGTTGTGGCCTAGACATGTGACTCATGGAAAATGAAGTTTTAAAAAAGGCTCTCATACTTTGTTTCCATTTACAAAATGTGAAAGTGTGTGGCTATAAAAATATGTTTTGAAATAAATCTGCATGTCGATGTAATGTAGTGACACATTAAAGTGTATATATTTGTAATCACAGACTGCATTTTGTTTGGAGAAAAGAAAATAAGGAAATTTCACTGAAGACCGTAGTTTATTGTAAACATTGACAGAGAAGTGTCCTGCAGACGCTTGCATGGGAGTTTCATCAGGCATCACCTGCACTTGCAGTAGTTGTTTAAACTGGAAACTTTCTTTTTACTTATAGCCTGAAAACTCCTTACACCTGCCAGGAAAAATTAAACCAATTTAGCTTTCATCTGAGAGGATACTGGCTCGGTGTAATGGTGAGCACACTGGACTTGCAATCCAGAGGTTGCCCGTTCCATTCAACGTCTTGACGCAATAGTTGAAATAATGAGCAAGTTTGTTAACCCTCCCCCGACCCCCCCCCCCCCCCCCTCTCTGCGTCTGTCAATGCAACAGGTCATGCGTGGTGTCTATAAAGTGTGGGTACTCCCAGAACAACAAAAAATACTCGAGGGGGCCTCTCCAGAACTGCCCCTCTAGTTGAAGCCCGAGCAGTGGCGTGAACGAGCAATCGTAGGGCTGTCCTATTACATTTTCATGCTTTATGACCTACTTGCTCAGAATGAGGAGTCCATCCATCCTGGAGAAATGTGGCCGTCTGACTTCAGTTTTGTTTATTTATCATCCACGCCAAATATTTCGGTAAGGTTTAGCTTACAAAAATGAAAGTATGTAGTGCTTTAATCCTACTGTTGATATTGTATTAGAGTAATTGAAATGACTGTGTAGCCAGCATTGTCCCTCCATGACTTATGGTGTTTTGCTGATAGGTGTTTTCGTCTGGTCATACTGGAGGAGTGATCGCCCATGGTCAAGAATGATGACAGAATAGCAACAAAAGTATGCAACGCATCCGAGCAGACGTACACAAATGAGATTAAATCATGTTGAGTGCAGGTGCTCAATGTATTTTTTTATTTCGAGGCTTTGATAGAGATGGCGATGTTTTGGCAAGGCCTTCATTCCAGCAGTGGATTGATAATGGCTGCTGATGGGGATGGTGACTCAATTTAAAATGTACATAACTGCATAATTCAGTCTTGGGAGATGACTTTACCAAAGCAACTTCTCTTAATAAACGTAAGAGCTCAATAGTAACCCTATTCCAGGAACACCATATCCACATATATATTATGTTCATGAATTTGTGCAGCACACCTTTAATAATAATAAAAATGTGACACTAATTATTGAATGTGTCATATGTGGTGTGAGAGTGAAGTACATTATTTTTGTAAGCATTAAAAAAGTTTGTTTCAGGCTTTTTTCTATTTTACAAATTTGTAATGATTTATATAGGGGCCTTAGGTCTTTAAAAGATTAATTGACTTGTTAGAAACTAACGGACCCATGTCCGCATTGGTTGGCATACCTTGCTCAAAATTTTTTTAACAATTGGCAGAAAACCAAACATATTTACACGTCTTGAGCAAACATTCTTGAGTCAGGTTATTTATTTTAAACAACTAAATAAAGTTACAAGTCCTTATTTACCCTTCAGAATGGTATTTCCATACAGCTCTGGCCAGAGCTTTGTAGATCCGGATGCCGAGTAGCAGAACAATCAATAATATCGTGGCTGAGCCATATGCCCATGTGACGACCTGTTAGCGTTTGGGTGGAAACAGCTGCCACTTTTGTGTTGCAATGTAATGACATTTTCCAGCAGCGTGAATTTTGTATTCACATTTCACACGAGTGTTTGCAAGTTCTTTTGTTTCCTTAATTTGTATTTTACACATTACCGCTCTCTGGGACTATTAATGAGCTTACACGAATGAGCAAATAATAGACATTGACTGTAATGTGAATAAGTGGGCTTTGGGCAGGACACGTTGTAAACACAGAATATGACCGATGGATTGGACTTGGAATGGAATGGCAACCCAAGGAGGAGAAAAGATGCCAAGGAAGATGACCACTGTGGAAATGGAGTGATGCCACATTTCCCATTGTACAGGAGTCAGATGGATTGTGGCATCGCAGGACTGTGAGGGATACCATTGGCATGGGGAAGCCTTCTCGCAGCAGTGGATAGATCTTGACTATTTATGATAAATGCATAGACGTGTAATGGCATACAATAATATGATGGACTGTGTATACCCACTGCTGAATGAAGGCCTGCTCATAGGGATGCTTCGACAAAGTGCTATCAAAAACAGTTAAACTAATTTCAGGTTTTATTTATTGAAAGCCAGCCTAATACCTACAACCATGATGCACCTGACATTTATTGTGTCGTTATCATCAGCAGTAATGATTATCCCGATGTGGAATGATTCCTCCCCAAGCTTCCGTCATCTGTCAAATTCCTGCGACCCAGTAATGGAAAAAAAAGTTGAATACGGTACTACCTTCATGCATCTCAGTGAAACGTATAATGTGAAGGGCATGTCATTTTAATACAATGTAATGCACTTGTTCAATGAGTGTTTTTGACAGAGAAATAGAGATAGCTACTGAATTAAAGCCTATTGTGACAACAAATAATTGCATTTATTCACTTAGTACATTTACAGGAAATGTATATTATGAATCACATATTTTAAGCAAACTGCAGTCAGTATTCAATCTGGATAAGCATCACCAAAAACACATCTGCGGGTATTTATTTTAGTAGAAAAGCACAGCCATTATGACACACTTGGACTTTTTGTGCAGGCGACATAATTATCATGAGAGAAAGTATAAACACTGTGTTCAAATAAATACCTACTTTTCTCGAGAGGCGTTAGCTAGCAACATTTTCTTGACTCGGTATCAGTGTAATTTTATAAAAGCCTATATTTATTTACACAAACGCACCACAAACATATAAACCCAATACTTGTTAAGCAAGTGAACCGTGATAAGGATATGCCCAAATAAACACTTTGAAGATGCAAAATTAGCAACCATTAAGTAAAATAGTTTATCTATACTCTGAGTAATAATTCATATACTGATAGATATCATTATTGGCTTTGTTGACACACATCCTTTGAAGTGCATGTGGTAAAGTATAGACTGTGTGGCATGTGAAATGCTTAGGAGTTGGCAACATGTGCAGCTATTAAAAATGTGGCCTACATTCAATAACATGTAATATTTTTCAAAGAAACTGAAATACTTTAAAGTGCTTTTGTCTATGTAAACATGCAAATTGGCAAAGCACCACAACAAAGCCCTCTCTGCATAAATAATTTTAATGGGAATCAAAATTGCTAGCACATTAAACAGAAATGCACATGCTTTTTTCTGAGCTCCAATCCAACATATGTTAAACCTACCAATTTACTTTGGAATGCATCATCTTGGGAAGAGGAAAAAATCTACCTAAAACTGCCAAGTTTTTTTTTTCAGCGGTGGGTGTAATAGTATTTGATTAAAGCGGCAGTTTTCTGGCTTTTGCACGCAAGCTGGCTCCATTGATCTAAAATCTCTGCCCACTCTCCCCAAGTGCTAGCAGGAAGGCCCATGATTATAAACACTGCCTCCATGTAGATAGCTTCAAGCTAGCTGCTTAAGGCTTCCGTTTGAACCGCGGACCCCGGCATCCTGCCAGCGCAAGCTAGCGGACTCTGTGGCTGGTTTATTTAAAGTCTGGGGACCAAAGATCGAGAAACAAACACGCGAATAAGTTCAACCGCACTATACCACAAACCAAAAATAAACAAATAAGAACCCACACACAGGAGATAATTATAACAGCTGTAGTGTTAGAAGTGGATTACGTGTTGTGTAATCGGATTGTGATGGTGTTAAGGAAAGGTGGGTAGGCATGATGTGAAGTTGAAAGGGTTGTCGGCGATGCTAATGTAGCCTCTTTTGCACACAAATGCCAGCAAGTGCGAGTTAGTGTGGACTGTCGGAACATCCTAGGATCGATTTCCATTGACGAACGTGTGATAACAGTGGGTTTAGGTCCAAGTGGGAATCTGTGATGCAAGTGCTTCGTGGCCTGTTCGGAAGTTTGTGACCAGGTTTAAAATCATTGTCCGCTGATCTTTAGCTTTGGCCAGGAAGCAAACTAACATCACCTTGTTCATAGCGGTGTGCTCACCGCTGTTTCCTCTGCACAACTAAACTCCAGCTTCGATGTAACAGTGCATTACTTTCAACCTATTTTAGTAAAGCATATATATCCACATTGTTCAATGTGGATATATATGCTTTGCGAAAGGGACATTATGACCTTAAGAATACATCAGTGAACTTATAATATACTCGATGGATAAATAATGCATGGTACAGTATATATGGTATACATTTTCTATTTTATAATGTGTATTCTATGTATATAAAATACAAAGATCCCCCATATGGAATTTCACAGACTGTTAAGACAAGTGCTGTTAGCTAACACTTATAAAAGCCGGCACAGTACACGAGGAGGGTGGGTGGCCAACACCACGCCCGGCCACCTTTGTCTCCCCAGTGGGGATGTTTACACACTGCACCAAATACTCATTTAAGTCGACCTAGGGGAGTCCCACGACTGGTTCAGATTATCGTCACCGGTGTTGGCCTTGAGCAGGAATCGGACTCGGGTCGCCGGGTTTGTAGTGCAGCGCACTAACCGCTACACCACCGCTCCTCACACACATATATATACACACAAATATAGCAATTGATAGACCCTTTAGAGAAAAGTGTAATATATTATTTAAAAAGAAATGTAGAAATGTCCAACAAAATGTTGAATACAATTTTTTTGACATGACTCTTTTTTTACGTGGAGCATTTGAAATGTATAAGCTTGATTCCATCTGCCTTCCGCAAGACTTGTGGTGTCTTTGCCATTTATTTCTGCCTCGTGCTTTCTCTCACTTTTCATCTTTTGCCCACCACCTTCAATCAACCTTGATCAAAGGACACAAGTTCTATTTTTGTAGTTAGGAAGAAATCTTGCAGACATTGTCTGGTCTGAACACCAACAAAATCTTTCACACCTGCCC